AAATCAAAAAAAAAAAAAAAAAAAAAAAACAAAAAGAAAGAAAGAAAAAGGAAGTCTCCATTGCTAGGGAAACCCCTTGGCTCCGGAGTCCTGCCTAGGGGCAGAGGGGCCCCAGAATCTACACCAGCAACCCTGTTTTTCCACCACGTTTAATTCGGGTATCAGAGGAGCACCAATAAATAGTTCCTTCCGCCCCCTGTAATCTTCCTCCTGCCCCAAGCAGGGGCCCCGAGGGCCTGGCGATGCCACCGCGGGAAGCCACCTGCAGCCCAGATGCCCGCGGGCTCAGACCAGCTGAGTTGGAGCCGCTGCAGACTTCCCAGGAAAATTCCAAAAGGGGCTGGCCTGAGAGCTTCCTGAAGTGGGCGGGGCCCCGGAGGCCGGAACGTTCTTTCCCGAGGGGCGGGGCCGATCACGGGGCGTGGTTTTCGTCCGCAGCGGTCACGATGACGTCTATCCAAATACGCATGGCTTCCGGGCTGGGGGCCACCATATAGAAAAGGCGTTCGTAGGTCTTGACGCAGAAGGTCAGGCGGGGGCTGGGGCTCTGGAATAAGCAAGGAGAGAGGGTGACTGGATCAATTCCCACCACTGTCTTCCTGCACGGGGTCCAGATGTCACTGGCTCCCCCGGCCTGGAGCTCTGCCTGACTCTGTCTCCCCAATGCTGGGATTGATGGTGTGCGTGCGCCTCCATGCCTGGCTGTTTTTATTTTGTTTACGTTTTTGCCCCGATCCTTTCTTTGAAAACGGGTTTGACCTCGGAGCTCAGGCTAGCCTCGAACTTGCAAGCCTCCTGAGGACTGAGATCACACCATGCCCCCACGTGGAGCCCATTTTCTGAGCACCAAATGGGCAGCTCGAGTTAGGTAAACCCCTTACTTATATCCATTATGTTTTTAACCCCAAAGGAAGAGGCTGAATGCCTTTTTTTTGGACGGGGGGGGGGGAAACTAAGACTTGAGATTTTTTAAGAAAGAAAAGAAAATCAGCTGGGCTTCCAATTTAGCCTTTAAAAACCCCACAGTTGCGGGCTGGAGATGGGCAGCTCCAGCTGAGATCCACAGTGGAGAGCACTTGCTGCCCTTGCAGAGGGCTCAGGTTCGATTCCCAGGACCCACATGGTGCTCACAGTAATCTGTAACGACAGTTCCAGAAGAACTGACCTCTATGGGGATGTACATAAATACGCGCTGGCATAACACTCGTACACATAAACTAAATCTATAAAGTAGACTTTAAAACAGCCGGGTGGTGGCGCACGCCTTTGATCCCAGCACTCAGAGCCAGAGGCAGGGGGAGCTCTGTGAGTTCAAGGCCAGCCTGGTCTACAGGGCGAGTTCCAGGACAGCCAGGGCTACACAGAGAAACCCTGTCTCGAAAAAACACAAAAACAAACAAACAAACAAAAAACATGCTTGGCTCCTTTCCAAAGAGTATTCTAAGCAGAGTTTCAGTGGCCAATGTTTCGTTTTCTGACCTTGTATTTTTGTCTCCCTTACAACCCAGGTCTCCAACGTGACATCCTCCTGCCCCTACCTCCTTCATGCTAGAATTGCAAACACGTGCTAAACCAGAATCTGATCAGTCTCACCCTCTCTTTCTCAATTTCTCTCTCCTCAATCCGTAGCCCTGGTTAGTGGCCTGGAACTCACTGTGTATTCCAGAGTGCCTTCAAAATCACAGAGATCCACCTGCCCCTGCCTTCCTGGTGCTGGGATTACAGCTGTGTGCCAACCACCACTATGATGCTGGGGATGGAACTCAGGGCTCCAGCAGGCTAGGCAAGCGCTCTACCGTCTGAGCCTAAGATGAAGCCCCAGGCTCAGAACATTTAGTTACTCTCCAGTTCTAAACTGGACAGTGAGTAAAACAAGGCTGGCTTTCCCCAGGGTGACCTAGACATAGGGTGACGTTCCAGTGTAGGGTCCCGCCCTGGTGGGAGGGCAGTGTGGCACTGAGCAGGGTGTCACCTTGAAGGCGCAGCGTAAGTGGTCGTGGTAGACTTCCTCAATAGCCTGGAAGTAGATGACACCTTTGAGCTTGGTCTCCTCCTTGTCTGGTGGGAAGAAAGCAAGGGGACAGATCTAGTTAGAGACAGGTGTGTGTGTGTGTGTGTGTGTGTGTGTGCGCGCGCGCGCGCACTCGCGAGTGTCTACGCATGTGTGTACACATGCATGTGAGTGTGTGCCATATATGTTCGAAGTGATGTGTGCACAGGCATACCTACATGTGCGCATGTGTGTTGGGGGGGAAGGCGTGGTGTATGTGAACTCCGGTCATTGG